CTAGAGCTGGTTTCTACCCAGCTTTAATGCGAACATGTAGCAGGGTCCTAAAGTAACCTGCTATAAACACAGTTCAATTCCTCCACCCTTTTAGTTAATCCAGATTCATTTTCCTGAGTATCCCGTGTAAACAAGCCATAGAGAATTAAATGACTTGCCCAGGCTTGCACAGGGTGCCAGGGGCAGACCCCAGGTCTCTCCAGTCCCAGTCCAGTGCTGTGAAGGTTAAAAAATCCTTCTTGCTGTCATCCACAGAGCCTGGACGACGTGATCAAGGACCTGATGGCTGCCATCCACCGGGAGCTGGCCGAGAAGCAGTCCCTGTCCTTCAGCATGTCCTTCCCACCCAACAAAGTGGAGCTCACCACCACCAAGGCTGACGGCACCGAGTCCTTTGTCTTCGAGTTCCCCAACCCAGATGCTCGGCACAGCTTCGAACAGGCTTTTGAGGATGCCAAGAAGAAGCTGGGTGAGCAGGGGCTGGCCAAGTGGCCCAGGGCTGCTGGTGGGAAGGGTCCTGTTGGAAATTGCAGCATCAGTGCCATCAGGGTGTTGGTTGTAAAAATCAGCACCTTCTTGGCTCTGAGTCAGCTAAGCAGGGCTTGGTTGGGTCAGTATGTAGATGGGAGGCCCCAGAGGAAAGCCCCAGTAGAAAGCTGCAGGGATTGGGATTTGGAGCCCGGGTACCATGAGGGTGTTGATTTTAAGTCAGCAATTCGTACAAGGAGCTAGGCATGTTCAGCTTGTGGAAAAGGCGTTCAGGATGGGACATGGTATCAGTCTTCAAATACTTGAAGGGCTGCCATAAAGAAGAGGGAAAGCACCTTTTCTCTCCTGCTGCAGAGAGCAGGATGCAAACCAGTGGCTTAAAGCTACAGCAAAGTAAGTTCAGATTGGATATCCGGAAAAAAAACTGCTTTGCTGTGAGAATAGTGAGGCGGCGGAATAGACATCTAGGGAAGGTGTGGACTCCCCATCACCAGAGGTGCTCAAGAAGAGGTTGGACAGCCACTGGTTGGGGTTGGTCTATGCCTATGTTCTGCTATGAGTGTTTCCCAGGCTTGTGGTCTTTACTAATAGCCCCTGCCCACCCCGTCCACTGTCGGGTGCAAGTGTCAGGGTGTTTTTAAGCCTCCCTCAGAAGCATTGGTTCTGGCTGCAGCCAGTACTGGGGATTTTGACTGAGGTGTGCCAGTGCTCCTGTTGGGACTCAAACCTGGAGGATCCTGGCTAGAGGGTCTTGCCCCTCTGCTCAAGGTCAGACCAGTACCACATTTGGGGTTGGGAAGGAATTTTACTCCATGGTCAGACTGGTACAAACTCGGGGGCGGGGGATGGGTTTCCTTCCTCTGTAGTGTGGAGTATGGCTTCTACTTGGGATCTCTTGGTAGCATATATTAACAACCTTTTACAGATGCAGGACATTAGCTGCCGTGGTGCCTCTGCTTTACCTGTGGCAGGTTTGGGTGTGATGCCTTGTGTTTTATGTAGCTGACTGTATGAAGGGTTGATATCATGGATGTGTCAGGGATGGGTTGGATAGGGCTGACCCTGCTTCAGGCAGGGGGTTGGACTAGCTGTGACCTCTGGAGCTCCCTTCCAGCCTTACTTCTTTATGATCCAGAAGGTAGAGTCCTGCATCCTGGGTCTGTGTGAAACCACAACCCAGCATGGTGTGGGGGGAAGTTTACAATTGGCTGGTTCTTGAAGATCCCAGGGCTGTTTTCTTTTGTGCTTTGACCAGATACCAGCCCGATAAAGCATATTCCACCCATCTCGTTCCTGTAGTTTCAACGCTGTATTCTCCAACCCTACAGTTTTGTTCAGTGTTGCCACGTGCTGTTAAGCAGCTACTGCATTCCACCCCAGAGGTGGCTGCATGTCCACACTGGTCCCTGTTTATTTGGCTTGCCAGGCTTTCTGGCACAGGGGAGGTGACTGCACAGGGGCATCATCACTGTTGTATCCGCAGCCTCCCTGATAGTGTCTCTCTCCTTCCCATCCAGCTTCCAACAAAAACTGCCTGGACCCTGAGTTCCTGAAGGCAATTCCCATCATGAAGACACGCAGCGGGATGCAGGTACGTTGGCCCCCTGGGCTTTCCTTCCCCCAGGCCCTGTCTGGTCTTGTGGTGGCACTTCGGGATCTCTAGGAGTTCAGTTGGACTGTGGCCCTGTCCCCTCCGCCAGGCCTGGCAGCCTCTGGAGTACCACAGCTGAGGATGGGCTGCTGAGAGCAGGTTTCCTTTGCCTAGAGCAGTGGTCCTCGACCTTTTTAGACTCAAGACACCCCTGGATAGACTCACGGTTCCCGTGGTTAGACTCGCAGCTCCCCTTGGAAAATACCAGCTCTTAGTCTTCACTCTCTTTTTGACTATAGAAAAATAAAGGAGCAGTTTTCCTGTTGCAAAGAACTCAGAAAGACTACAACCATGGATTTCTGTTTGAAATCTGGTGAATCATGTTTGCACATATAACCAGGCTAACATTGTGTGGTGTCCCACAGCACCCCTGAAAGGCTCTCAGAGCAGCCCAGGTGCTGTGGTGTCCTGGTTGAAAATCACCGGCCTAGAGTCAGGATAAGTGGCAGCTTGCCACTAGCAGGCACGGTGCTCCCCAGAGGTGCCTGGTCACGCTATCACCATGTTTGGGCTGAGAGACAAAACCCTGGTCCTTATTTCTTCTGGTCATTAAAGAGGCTGTGCAGCATAGGAGTGCTAGCTGTGGGGTCCTGGCCAAGCTCCCCCTTGCACTTCCAAACGGATGCTGCATTTCTCTGCACTCCTTGTCCCAAACCTCTGTATAGTGTTTGAGGGGATGTGATATAGTTGTTTATGTTCCACCCCAGAAGTGGCTGTGTTCTAGGGTGACTGCAGTGACCTCCCCCAGGCATAATTTCGGGTGAACCCGGGGAAGGAAGAGAAGCTGTTTTTATTCAGCGTCACCCTCCCTTGCTGGTTTGCCGTGCTGAGGCGCTCACGAATCTCCTTTCAGTCCATTTCTGATCTAATCTGGCTCTTCCGTGTCTCATGTCTCTGCCCAGTTCTCCTGCGCCTCCCCCAGCCACAGCGGCCCCGAGAGCGCCTTTGAGGTGTGGGTGTGCAACAGCGATGGCTACGTGGGGCAGGTCTGCCTCCTCAGCATCAAGAAGGAGCCCACAGTCGAGGCCTGCATCGCCGTCTGCTCAGCCAGGATCCTCTGCATTGCCTCCGTGCCAGGCCTCAAGAGGATATACAGGTACAAGACCCGGTACGGAGGCCAAGGTGTAGGGGCCAACATCATTTGCCCCCTGAAGTGTCTGAACAAGCTTAAGATCCCAAGGATCAGGGCCCAAGAGAGCAGAAGAGGGGGTCACTAGCTGAGACCTGGGTTCTAGTCGCCCCTGCTCTTACACTGACTGCATGTGTAGCCTTGGGTAAATGGCTTGGCATCTTTGTCCCTCAGTTTCCCCAGCTGTTGAATGGGGTCCATA